TTATCTAAAGAACAAAGCTGTTTGGAGCAGCATTGATCTTGGGCTATTTTTTTAAAAACTCAAAGTTTATCAGGTTCTGGTTACATTATTTGTGTTATTCATACATCAACACTCCAACTATTCAGAAAGTTGGACAGCTCTGAAATGACCCAGAATAATTCTATGAAAGTTAAGAGTTAAGGTTAGAGAGATGACCCAATGGGAAGAGTGCTTGCTATTCTTGCAGAGGACCTGGGTTTGGTTCCCAGCACCTACATTATATGGTTCACAACTGCCTGTAACTCCAGCTCCAGGGGTTTGAACATCCTCTCCTGGCCTCTGGGGGCATTGCATGACACAGGTGCTCTTACATACATGAAAGCAAAACACTCATATCCATGAAATAAATGCTAAAGACAATTTTAAAAGAAACGAACTGGTACTATTGGTGCAAAGTCACTTCCCTCATCAGGTGTCGCAGCCCCAGCTGTGGCATAGCATATGGCCTGAGTTGCAGGAGGGGCCTCTACTGAGTGCTTGCTTGCTCTTTGGGTGTCAGATTCATTGTGTAAATCAAGTAGTTTCTTTTAAAAGAAATATTTATTTTGTGCAGTTAGGCATGTGCAGAGACAACCTGGTAGAGTCTTGTGAGTCCTGGGGATCAAACTCAAGTCATCTTGCTTGGTCGAAAGTGCTTTTACTCTCTGGGTCATCCCACCTGCCCTAAAGCTTGATTTTGATATTCTGAAGTAAACATTTTTCATGGCTGTGTGAACCTGGCTTGCAGCAGTTTTTTAAAAAGAGCCCCTCCGCCCAGGAGGAGCGCACACCAATAAGGCTCCAGTGCCCCATGATACTTTGGAATGGGAGGTGGTCACCGGCCACTTATTTTCTGTAGTCTCTTATGGAGCATGCCTGGGACTCTCCTTCAATCCCAGCATCATTGTCTAGCCTTAGATGTGGGCAGCTGTGCTTTAAACCCATCCTGGGCTTTCCCACATGTGTGAGTCCCGGGATGTGTATGTCCAACCCGTGGCGGGCCACAGGCATAAAACTGGAGCTGCACACACATGCACAGCTTGTTCACCAACAAAGCGTGTTATTTCCTAGGGACTGTGGCCAGACTGCCTACCTTGTGTTGTTATTTATTTTTCCTCTGGCCTCCCCCAACCCCTGTTCCTTTCCTGCTGGGCCTGCATTCCTAGGTCTTTGTCTCTGCTTGGTATTTTAGAAATTTTGGGAGAGGAAGGCAGGGAGGGTGGGACATTCTGGAAGCTGGGGGCAGGGAAGGGGGTGGTCACTTGAGGGGTCAGAGGTCAAGCCAGCTCCATTTAGCTAGAGGAGCCAGATTGTCGCCAGGCCTGAGGGGGCGTGTCTATGCATCTGCCCGGGTAGCCCCAAACAGGCGTTCTTAGGTCCTGGATTCCTACCGCCAGAGGACTCTATCCCTTCCCTCCTTTCCCTTTGCCCTGTGATGGCTGCCATGGGCCCCCCCTCCACCTAGTACCAGTCTATTCCTTCTTCTAATCCTTCACCTCCAAAAAAAAGATTGGCTCCAAGGATTAAAAAAATATATAGCTTATTAATTTATTTTGGGGGGAGGCTGTGTGGAGAACAGAGGACACCTTGCAGGAGTTGGTTATCGCCTTCCACTTTGTAGGTCCCAGGGCTTGAACTCAGGTCGCCAGACAAGGCAGCAGCCTTAGTCCCACTGAAATCATCTCAGCGGCCCCAAATCTATTGCTTTAAATCAGTCATCCAAATGTGCAGAGAACTGCACAATGCATCCCCTTACCCACTGGTCATGTGTGTCAATAGTTCTAAAATTATGCTTTTTTCCCCCCAGGTCTTAGAAATGGCAGGTAGATAAGACAAAACTTACAGATGAACTGTGAAACTCTCCCAAAGTTCAGCTTCAGCTCGTACCTAGGACACTTAGAAAGGGTGCTTTTTTTTTTTTTTTTGGGGGTTTTGGAACAATACATTATTTTTTTAAAATTGTGGCTTAATTAAGTACACTGGAACTTTTTTTTTTTTTTTTGAGACAGGGTCTCCCTGTAGCCCCAGCTGTTCTGGAACTCACTATGTAGACCAGGCTGGCCTTGAACTCACAGAGATCCTCCTGCCTCTGCCTCCCAAATTCTGGGATTACAGGCGTGCGCCACCATGCCCAGCTCTCACAATGCATTATTTTTTAAAATTTGTGGCTTATTAAGTACATTGAAACTTTTTTTTTTTATTTTTTATTTTTAGACAGGGTCTCCCTGTAGCCCCAGCTGTCCTGGAACTCACTATGTAGACCAGGCTGGCCTTGAACTCAGAGATCCACCTGCCTCTGCCTACCAAGTGCTGGGACTACAGGCATGCGCCACCACGCCCGGCAAGACTTTTTAATGCATCTGTAGCTTTTTATTATCAGCCACTTGGTTGCTGTTTCCCAGTCGACCCTGGTTCCCTCCCCCATGTCCCCAGCCTGGAGTTGCTGGGACTCCCATCTCACATGAAGTGATTCCAGGCTGTAGTGCATGTCAGGTCCCTTAGACTCCTTTGGAGGTATCTTCCTGACACAACCTCTTCTGACCAGGATTTCTTTTCTGTATCTTCAGAGTCCTTCAAGAGTTACCATAAATCCTCAGGGGATCTTCTGTGCCCGGCATCATGTAAGCTCTTGTAGGGGTTAATAAGCCTAAGGGCCTCAAGGTTTCTTAACACAACTGCAGCCTGGAGCCCAAATTTCTTTTCCTCAGCCCAGAATAGCCAGAATAGTGAAAGCCCTAGGGTTCTTGCTGTCCTGTCCCCAGTGGGGGGTGGGGTGGGGTGGGGGGTGGATAGGTAGTCCTGAGTTTTTAAGGTTGGAGAGAATCTTCCCAGGGACCTAGTCAGACTCGGTTTCCCAGATGAAATTGAAGCTCAAAGAGGTCAGAGGAAGTGACTAGGCAGGTTTCCAGGCTCAGTTCAGGCTCTAGCTGTGGAGGAGCCCGCGTGGCTGTTGCCCTTCCTCTCACACCCACTAGAGAAAACACAGAACTGCCCTGAGAGGGGTGCTCACATAGAAGATGCAGGTGGAGCCCCTTAGCCCTTGAGTAGAAAGAGGGAAACCTCCGCCCATTCTATTTTAATTTAAAAGGCACCTTCCGCTGTTAGGTTTTTTCACACTTGGCAAATGGAGGGAATAGAGGGCAAGAATGCAGACTGCAGGGCCACATTGCTTCAGCACCACATTGTAAAAAGAGAGCCTGGCCAGGAATCCCCCAGGATTTATCCAGCTTAGCATCTTTTATTAGTTACTTAAAGTTTGCTTGGGAGTTTTTAGATTTAACAGATTAGGGTAGACCTGTTTAAAAAATGATTTGGCCTTTTCAAGAGGGCAGAAATAATGCCCCCTGGTTTGAGCCTCTGCTGGTTAAACAGCACTGCAGTGGTCAGAGTGGCAGGAAGGGTCCAAACTCTAGCCCCTTTCCCTGTGCAAGAGCAGTATCCTAAATCTTTGTCTCCTCTGGATGTGGAAGTTTGTAGAAATGTCGCCAGCCCTTGCTGCATCACAAGCTCCCTGATTAAACTCAGGCAGCACATTTACCTCACCACGGGTCTGCAATCAACATCCCCAAGGTTTTGTTTTTTGTAACGGGGTCTGTGTACCCCTGGCTGGCCTTGTTTTCACAGAGCTGCTCCTGTCTCTGCCTCCCAGAGTGCCATCCCGCCTGGCCCTAAGTCTTCTTAATGTTGGGGGACACGTGGACAGAAGTGAGCTGTGTGCCCCCCCCCTCTGAGGATTTCAGCGTAATTGCCCTTTTTGGTCCCCAGGGCTCCTTCCAGCCTGCCTAGCTGTCTCCCAGCTTTCCCTGGCTGGCTTCTGGGTCTTAGTTATTTCTGGCCCTCCCACAAGATACATAGTGGGGCCCTGATGAAGTAGCCAGCCCCATGCCTGTTCTTTAGGGACAGAAGTGAGCTGTGTGCCCCCCCCCTCTGAGGATTTCAGCGTAATTGCCCTTTTTGGTCCCCAGGGCTCCTTCCAGCCTGCCTAGCTGTCTCCCAGCTTTCCCTGGCTGGCTTCTGGGTCTTAGTTATTTCTGGCCCTCCCACAAGATACATAGTGGGGCCCTGATGAAGTAGCCAGCCCCATGCCTGTTCTTTAGCAGCCCCATGCCCCAGCTGTGTGGTCTCGGAGCACCCACTGCCTCCTGTCTTCACGTGGAGAATTTGGTGTATTGCTGCTTGTGGGAAAGAATCCCACTTACGAGTGGTTCCTTGCCTGCCTCGTGTCAGCTTTACTCTGCCCCAGCAGCTCTTGAAATCAACCTGGCAGACATTTACAACAGGAGAGTGAGCAAGTGAGGAAGAGTGGCCAGTTTCCGTGTCTAGATGCCCTCCCTCTTGAGAACTTGGTGGTGGTATCTAGCCCTTCTCTGCCCCCAGCACATAGGCCCTCAGAGAAGCCATTCTGCAGGCTGTGCTGCCTCCCAGGTTCAGCTCCTTGAACTAATTTGGCGGAGAGAGGAAAGCCAAGAGGCATACTGACCTCTCTGTTTTGCCTTCCAGAAGTTCTCTTGTAGCTTGCCTTGCACTTTGTGCGCTGACCACCTTGATTGGGGCACAGGATGGGCACCTTTATTCTCTTGACCTTCATGTACAGGAGTGGGCATAAAAGCATGGAGTTCATTCTTCAGACCACCAAGCCCAGACCAGGGACAGAATCAGAATTTTAGAAATGTTTAGATCATTCAGCAAGGCGGCCAAGTTTCATCCCTGTCTTTATGGTGTCTCAGTTGTCCTTGTGACTCAAGCTGGAGTAGGATATGGCACCTGCGGTGTGGTTTCCCCTTTGGCTTGGGACAGAAGGTGGGGAAGGACAGTGTGCATTAATGGTTGTGTTTGTACCTATGACAGTCCTGCCTGTCTCCGGGGCGGGGGACTTCCCTCGCTTGGAGGAAGGCCCTTTGAGGTCTGGGTTCCAGAGTACTGCCTCCCCTCCTCCCGCTACCTGCTCCTTTTATTGACATCTGTCCCTCTCTGGTCTCCAGGTGCTACATCTGTATTGTGACACTTGCTCTGTGCCCATTTGTCGAGAGTGCACGCTGGGCCGGCACGGGGGCCACAGTTTCATCTACCTCCAGGATGCGCTGCAGGATTCAAGGGCACTCACCATCCAGCTGCTGGCTGATGCCCAGCAGGGCCGCCAGGCAATCCAGGTCAGTTATCTTCCTCATTGACTCCCTCCAGAAGCCTTTCCCATCCCTTCTAGAGAGCATGTGGACATAGGAGAGCAGACTGCACTCTTGGCTTTACCAGAAGGGGCTCATGTGGCACCCAGGCTGCAGAGCCTGAAGCAGTTCTCAGAAGGGGATAGGGATGTAGCCTGAGGTCCTGGCTTCTTACCTGAATCCCTTTTCTTTCTTAATAAGGACTTCCAAGACTGAGCACTTAATGCTTTTTAGGCACAAGGTATTTGATTGACTTATTTATAGCTGAGAAGGGAACAGAGAATTTTACATTAGGTTCAGACTTTATTCAAATCTCTTATTTAGCTCTTATCATCATTATTGCATGATATTAATATCAGCGTATTATTTCAATTTGTAGTCTTCTTTAATTTTTCAAAAAAAATTGGTTTTTATTTATGTGTACAAGTGTTCCTGCACGTAAGTGCACCCATGTCGTTCAACACCCACTGAGGTAAGAAGATAGCATTGGATCCCCTGGAACTGGAGTTACAGGTGGCTGTTAGCCGCCATGTGGGTGCTGGGAACTGAACCCAGATCCTCTGCAAGAGCAGCCACTGTTCTTAACCACCAGAGCCATCTCTCCAGCCTGATGCCTAGTTCTTTAAAAGCCTGATGCCTAGTTCTTTTAAATTGTTACTATCTAGCTGATTGCTTATAAATCTCCTTGCTAGGTGACAAGCTTTTAGGAAATCAGAAAATTATGACTCCTAAATTTAAAGATGAGGTTGAAAGTAGTTACTAGTTACTAAGTTTCCAACAGAAATTGCATAGGAAATTTGTTATTTTTGGAATATTTAGGTAAAAAATTTTTTTTGTAGAGATATGTTTTGAAAGTTCTATCCAGAATTTGACAGGCTTGTGTTTTGTTTTTTGTTTTTAGGCAGGGTCTTGCTGTATAACCTAGGCTAGCCTCCAGCTTGAAGCAGTTCTGCCTCAGCCTCTCTGGTGCTAGATTGTGGGTGTGTGCTGCCACACCTGGCTGAGTTTTGCAGATTTTATTTAATACATTCTCAGTAGCTGGTGTAGGCTCATAAGTATGATATTGAAGTAATCTTTTCTGGCTAATTATATTTCCTGATGTTCAAGTCATACATACAGCAGGTTACAAGTATATTTTTGGAGTGGTAAATCCTGCAACCAGAGTTAGTGTCTTCTTAAAAGAGAAGGTTTCGTTTTTATTTTTGTATGGGTACCTTCAGAGACCATTGGAGCCTCTGGAGCAGGAGTTGTGAGGCGCCCCAACTTGGGTGCTGGGAATTGAACTCTGGTCCTGGAAGAGCCGTTTCTGTTCTGAACTACTGAATTATCTTTCTAATCCTTATACTTTCTTTAAAATGGCCTATACCACTAAGGACAAAGTGTCTCATGACTGTAATCCTAGAGCTCTGGATGCCCCTGTCTTTTATTTGCTTGTTAGTTTTTTGGTCTTTTTGAGACAGGGTCTCCCTGTAGCCCCAGCTGTCCTGGAACTCACTATGTAGACCAGGCTGGCCTTGAACTCACAGAGATCCGCCTGCCTCTGCCTAGAGAGTGCTGGGAATAATGTGCGACACCACTCCCGGCCTAACCCTGTCTTAAGAAAACAAAACAACCAAAGGTCTATATAGTGCCTCTGGGTTGCTGCTCTGCCTCTGCAGTGGCTCATTTTTTTGCTGTGGCGCAGTGTGTCTGTGTCCCCACAGATAAAGTACTCCCTGTCTGTGTTCTCTTAGGTTGTTACCATTAGGATTCTGGGGGAACCTCATCCTGCTCTTCTAGACACAGTATCCCCAGGCACTGCCTAGCCACTGTGCATGTGACCTGGAACTAAGAGAGCTGCAGACCACACACACACACACACACACACACCGCCCATCATGGTATAATCTTAATGTCCCCTGTCTGTCCTTGGAGAATGAGAACACTCGGCCTTGGAGCATGATTAAGAGAATTAATGCTACATATGTGCTCTCTGTGGTTTGTGGGCTCAGCCACTGGGGAAAGAGATGAGTTGTCAAGATTGGCTGGAGGCTTAAAAACAGTGGTTTAAATGGTGAAATCTCATAATAAAAATGTCAGCTTTCTGTGAAGAGAACAGTAGACGAAGATTTTGTGTATCTTGTTCAACTTTCTAAACAGAAGACTCAGAAGCATGAACCATAGCTGCTAAATGTTTGTGGATAGTCTGTCTGATGTTGAGCTGAATACTAGATCGTGTGTCATGCTGGGTAGTGAGAAGAGCAGGTAGCAAGTATATGGGTGCCTGTTGGGTTGGTGGGATATCATGTTAATAGCCATACTGCACAGATTGTGAATAGATTGTACAGGAGGACCTCCTGTCTGTGTGTGTGTGTGTGTGTGTGTGTGTGTGTGTGTGTGTGTGTGTGTGCACGTGCACGTGCACCGCTCCTTCCTGGCTCATCTGTGTGCCTGCCTGCCTTTCTTTTTCTTGGCTCTGGGTTGGTTTTTTTAAGCCTACATTCAGTCATGGTCTGAAGGCCAGAGTACGAGAGACACCTGCTGAAGGCATTTTATAGATTGTCCGTGCATTGGCCATAGCCATTCCTAGAAACAACAGTCCTCCTGCGAGTCCTAGAGGAAAGTAGAGAGGGATGAGTAATTTCTAAATGGTTCTGGGTGCTCCTTCCCTGAGTTAGCCTGAGATGCCTGCACCGGCAGCATGGGAGAAGCCAAGGTAAAGGATGAAGTCAGATGGCTTTCATGAAGCCGTAACTGTAAAGCTACTTTATTCCCCAGAGAAACAGACTCTGTCCCCAAGGCCAGAAGTCTGGTGCGGCCCAGTTTTCTTTGTGTACAAGTGTATACACCTGGGCTGCGGGTAAGAATCTGAACAGAGTTCTGTGTTTTGAAACAGGTTGCGTGGGAATAGGGAGAGGTCAGATTATGACCCCCAGATAGGGACTGCTGTGCTGAGGTAGAACTGCAAGGGACTCTTGACCACATGGAGGGTGGAGTCCCTTTCTTGGGCACATTTAATCTAGAAGTCATTTGTAAAAATACATCTTGAAGACAATGAAAAAAGCCACAGTATGAGAGGGACTTAGTTTCCAGGCATGGTGGCGCACGCCTTTAGTCCCAGCACTCGGGAGGCAGAGACAGGCAGATCTCTTGAGTTCAAGGCCAGCCTGGTCTACATAGAGAGTTCTAGACTAGCTGGGGCTCCAGGGAGAGACCCTGTCTCAAAAAGACTTAACTTTGCACATGAATGTACAGGTAAATGTCCTTTATTGGTCACTAAGCAATGGAAAGTTGGATCTGCCTCTGATGTGATGTTTTAAGGGGGTGAAGTCTATTGGTGTGTTGTGCAGTGCCCGAGGAGGACAGAAGAGGGTGTCAGATCCCCTGGACCTGGAGTTATGGACAGTTGTTAGCTCCATGTGGGTGCTGGGATTGAAACCCGGGTCTTCTGCAAGAGCAACCAGTGCTCTTAACTGCTGAGCCGTCTCTCCAGCTCCCAGTCTACTCTTGGTTTTACTATGTCATTGAATATTAATGTTTAAGAGTATCTGAGGCTGGAGGGATGGATGAACCAGTGGTTCATAGAACTTCCTGTTCTAACAGAGGACCAGAGTTCTAATCCTCCTATGCACATCTCTTAATCTTCTGGGCATGGTGGCACATGCCTTTAATTCCAGCACTCGGGAGGCAGTGGCAGATGGATCTCTGAGATTAAGGCCATTCTGGTCTACATAGTGAGTTCCAGGCCAGATGTGGCTACAGAGAGACCATGTCTCAAAAAAACCCCAAATCCCTTAACCCAAATACAAACTAATTCTGGTCACATATTATATTAACTACTTTTCTCATTGCAGTGACAAAATATCTGACACAAGTAACTTCAAGAGTTTATTTTGGTTCACAGTTTAGTTCATAGCATATCATGGTTGGGCAGCAGGAGTATGAAGTGGCTGGTCATGTTGCATCTATAAACTAGGTGTGGTACCTTTAATCCCAGCATTTAGGAGGCAGAGGTAGAGGCAGGTGGTTCTTTGTCAGATATGTCAACATGGTCTACATATCAAGTTCCAGGCCAGCTAGGCTACAAGGAGATCCTATCTCAGAAACCAAACAAACAAATACAAAAAATAGCACACACGCACACACACACACACACTCTCTCTCTCTCTCTCTCTCTCTCTCTCTCTCTCTCTCTCTCTCTCTATTTCATTTATAGTCAGGAATTGGAGATGAATGTTGAGTTTCTCCTTTGGAAATGGAGCCACCTGCAGTTTAGGGTGGGTCTTTTCTTAGTTAAACCTTCTGAAAACACCTGTAGATGTACCCAGAGGCATCTCTCCTAAGTGATTCCAAATCTAGTCAGGGAGATTCTGAAGATTAACCCTTGCATAGCATGGAGATTTTGCTGTCTTTCTAAAGGGAACACAAAATAATAAGGTTGGGATAGCAGTCACTGACCTAAGAATCTGTCCTTTGTTCACCCGTTTTGCTCTTTGATGCTATTAGACTATAAAGTGTGTTGTTCAAGAACTTCCTCCCCCTTTTTTCTTTTTTCATTTTGAGATGAGGTCTCCTAATCCAGGTTGGCATTGAACTCCTGATCTGTCTCCACCTCCCGAGTGCTAGGATTTCAGGTTTGCACCACCATGTCTCGCTAATGTGGTGCTGAGGATTGAACCCAGGGTTTTCTGTGTGCTAGCACTTTACCAACTGAACTGTACCTGGGTGTCCTTGTTCAAGACATTTACTCACCCATCCATTGTGCTACAGTTGTTGCAACACTGTACCATTGCGCCACACATACATACCTCCCATCCCATGAACTTTCAAAAAGGTGCTCACTTGGAGGTCTATGCCTTTAATGCCAGCACTCCTGAGGCAGAGCAGAGCCAAGTGGACCTTTAGGAGTTCCAGGCCAGCCAGGGCTATATAATGAGATCCTGTCTTTGGCGGGGGAGGGGGGGGCAGAAAGAGCTGGTCATTTTGGGGCTGGCAAATAAAGGTGCTTG